GATTAATCAAACATATAGTTAGGACATATTCTTTGAAATGCAAGACCTTTGTCTCACCTTTGGTCTTAAGACTGGTTTCAGACTGAAGACATTCTATGTCAGACACAACCCAGAGAAAAAATTATGAAGTTTGCTATTTAGCATGGTAGATAGCATTGACCTCAGTGAACATTGAAATGATACTTCCAAAGCATAGCCTCTTTTCTGTCTTTGGAAGGGCATAATTTTCTTCGTAGAATATTTTCGTCTCCAACCTAATGTCCCAGCTCATGCCCTGGAACAATCCAATCATTGTTCAATTCAACCTCATCTTCTTTATCATACTCCATTTATTTTAGGTGAAGTTTCATACAGATTTTATATGCAAATCAAACAACAACAACAACATTGTAGCAAAGTTATTTTATTTATAAAAAAAATTCATAATCTTTATAAAAAGCTATATATAACACATAAAAACTCTGGTCTCAGGTGGTTAAAGTTAATTAAGGCTTATTCTATTTTAATAATTACCAATACATTAAAGCAGCATGCCTAAATTTTATGAAAATTTCAAAAAATTATTAAAAAGTAAAATATTTTGAAGTTAACAAAGAAATTAATTTTCACATTGCAAACAGCACTAACAACCAACAAGAGGGCCATGATGGCCCTGAGGTCGCTCACCTGTATATAGCCCCCTCCCCCCCCCCTCCCCCCCCACACCCATAAGAAGATGTTTCATGCTAAACATCTAAGCTCTAGCTCATTGGGCTTTTTAAAAGAAGATTTTTTTAAGTTTTTACTATACACATATAGTTAAAAACAAGGACACCCCTGGGGCGGGGCCAGTTTTGACCCAAGGGCTTTTATTTGAACAAACTTTGTAGACACTTACTAGAAGATGTTTCATGCTTAATATCTAAACTCTAGCTATTTGGTTTTTTTCAAAGAAGATTTTAAGTTTTTGCTATACACATATAAGGAAAATCAATGACCCCCGGGGCGGGGTCAATTTTGACCCCAGGGCTTTTATTTGAACAAACTTGGTAGACACCTATTAGAACATGTTTGATGCTAAATATCTTAGCTCTAGCTCTTTGAGTTCTTTAAAAGAAGATTTTTTAAGTTTTTACTATATGCATATAGGGAAAATCAATGACCCCCTGGGGCGGGGCCAATTTTGACCCCAGGGCTTTTATTTGAACAAACTTGGTAGACACCTATTAGAACATGTTTGATGCTAAATATCTAAACTCTAGCTATTTGGGTTTTTTCAAAGAAGATTTTAAGTTTTTGCTATACACATATAAGGAAAATCAATGACCCCCTGGGGCTGGGCAAATTTTGACCCTAGGGCTTTTATTTGAACAAACTTGGTAGACACTCATTAGAACATGTTTCATGCTAAATATCTTAGCTCCAGCTCTTTGGGTTCTTTAAAAGAAGATTTTTTAAGTTTTTACTATATGCAATGACCCCCTGGGGCGGGGCCAATTTTGACCCCAGGGCTTTTATTTGAACAAACTTGGTAGACACCTATTAGAACATGTTTGATGCTAAATATCTAAACTCTAGCTATTTGGGTTTTTTCAAAGAAGATTTTAAGTTTTTGCTATACACATATAAGGAAAATCAATGACCCCCTGGGGCTGGGCAAATTTTGACCCTAGGGCTTTTATTTGAACAAACTTGGTAGACACTCATTAGAACATGTTTCATGCTAAATATCTTAGCTCCAGCTCTTTGGGTTCTTTAAAAGAAGATTTTTTAAGTTTTTACTATATGCAATGACCCCCTGGGGCCGGGCCAATTTTGACCCCAGGGCTTTTATTTGAACAAACTTTGTAGACACTCACTAGAATCACAGGCACGAGTATCGGACCTGGGAAGAAAAAATATGAGCAGATTGATAAAAAAAACATGTGTTCATCTTAAAAGTGTCAAAAAAAACAAAAAAATGTAAATAATGACCCCCTTTAAAAATATACTATAAGTTATACTTACTTATAGTATATTTTTAAAGGGGGTCATTATTTACATTTTTTTGTTTTTTTTGACACTTTTAAGATGAACACATGTTTTTTTTATCAATCTGGTCATATTTTTTCTTCCCAGGTCCGATACTCGTGCCTGTCACTAGAATATGTTTCATGCCAAATATCTAAGCTCTAGCTCTTAGGGATTTTTAAAAGAAGATATTTAAAAATTTTTCTTTCGGTTGCCATGGCAACCAGAGTTCTGCATGGAATTAAATTCTTTGAACAATTTTTAAAGGTGACCACCAAAGGAACATTCCTGTGAAGTTTGGATGAAATTGGCCTACTGGTTTATGAGGAGATGTCATTTAAAGTAAAAGTTTACGGACGACGGACGCCAGACGAAAAACCAACACAAAAGCTCACCATGTCACTTTGTGACAGGTGAGTTAAAAAAACAAAACAACAAAAACAGCAAAAAGAAAACAAAAAACAAGCTTGAACGGACGGACGACGGATGGACGACGGACGAAATGCGATCACAAAAGCTCACCCTGTCACAGGTGAGCTAAAAAGAGGTAAAAAGTATGCAAAAATAACCCTAACTGCATAAGTAGTGCAGTAGAAATATGGTGGAAAATATTGCAAAATCGTCATAAATCACTTGGAAATAATTACTTTTATCTTGCATCTTTTTACTTTTCTTAAAATCCAGTTCTTTTTTCTCATGTTTGATTTTCTTGAAATATTTTGGTTCATCTGGAGGCATTTAGCTTTAAAATTTATGAAGAAATAGGAAAATATTCTAACAAATCAAAATCTTTTCCTGGTTTATAATACATTTGTGTAGATATTGTTAAATAGTGGAAAAGAAATCAGAAATAAAGCTATGATTTCATACATAATATGATATAAATTGATGGTTTTAATATGATTATCAATCCAACAAAGTCTAACATTCACAACATTCATTAAATTCAATCTGAACAGTGCTAATAGAATATATAATGATATTCTATAATTATGGAGAATAAAAAATTATAATGAAATTTAATATGGATTCTTGAGACAAAATATATCACAGGAACATGTGAGAGTTCCATAAACAAGGCATAATTAAGAAAATCACAGTAGACAATCTAATGACCAAAAAAATGTGCTGAATTAGCTTTTTTTTGTGACAACATGATTTAAAAAATTTTTTTTTAAAGTTTTTACTATATACATAAAGGGAAAAACAATGACCCCCTGGGGCGAAGCCATTTTTGACCCCAGGGCTTTTATTTGAACTAACTTGGTAGACACCCACTAGAAGATGTTTCATGCTTAATATCTAAGCTCTAGCTATTTGGGTTTTTTTAAAGAAGATTTTTTAAGTTTTTACTATATACAAATAAGGAAAATCAATGACCCCCAGAAGGGGTAAATATTGACACCAGGGCTTTTATTTGTACAACCTTGGTAGACACTGACTAGACAATGTTTCATGCCAAATATTTAAGCTCTAGCTCTTTCGGTTTTTTTTAAGAAGATTTTTAAAGTTTTTTCTTTCGGTTGCCATGGCAACCAGAGTTCTGCATGGAATTAAATTCTTTGAACAATTTTTAAAGTTGACTACCAAAGGAACATTCCTGTGAAGTTTGGATGAAATTGGCTTAGCGGTTTATGAGGAGATGTCGTTTAAAGTAAAAGTTTACGGACGGACCGGACGGATGGATGCCAGACGAAAAGCTATCACAAAAGCTCACCATGTCACTTTGTGACAGGTGAGCTAAAAAAACAAAACAACAAAAACAGCAAAAAGAAAACAAAAAACAAGCTTATATGACTAAACAGCAGCTTTTCAAAATATTGCATTTCCCCTTTAAACAAATCAATAACAGAAATCTAAACAAATAGCATTAAAAAAAATTGAAGAAACATAATGAAAACAAGGTGGTCTCATTGATACACTAGCAAAGTAAAAAATAATATGTGCAATATTTACATGGAAACTTATCTGAGTGTAGCCTCAATATTTCTTTTCAGCTACAGCCCTCAAAGTAAATCTGCTATGAAAATTCAGAGCTGTAAATAAACACTTCTTTCTGTAGAAAGTTTAAGTAAATTTTGTTGATTTTAAAAACAAACAAATTATGTTAATTTTGTATAATCCTGGTCTTGAAATAATTTTTTTATTATACCTGTTATGGTTGTACATATTTTGTTATATTTATTGCATGTATCATATGCACGTTTGACATATAAAAATAAAAAAAAAATTTGACAGAAAAAAATCCATTATGTATACAAATGTATCCAGAATGACACTGATGATATTGTGGCAATAAGTAACAGTTGAATATATACATTGAAGTTTAAATACATGGAGGTATATTATAAAACAGTAATTGTAAGAGATTTCAGGGTCTGACAATTAAAAAATATTTTCTCAGCTTGGGTATCTGATCCGTTAGAAATCAACATAGATGGCTAATGAAAATCCTGAAAACTGAGGCAGAGCTCTCTGAAAATTGTTGAAATGTTTTATAACATTGAGGCCTAATCTTTTTCTTCTTTAGCCCTCTATTAATTTTCTTGATCATAAGATTTCGGTAGAAAATACTACACTTGTTGCTTCTGCATCTCAAAAGACCTATTTGAATCAAATAAAGGAAAAAATATGACTTCCTGATAGAAATACCTCTTATTATTATATAAACAAAAATATGATTATTTTTTATTAAAAGCACCACTGATTAATATTGATAAGAAAATCATAAGTAAAATGTATGATAAAAGAACACAGGTTATAATAAAATGCCTTTAAAAAATCTTAAAACAAATTCATTATCTGGTTCTTTGTAGAATATCCTGAGAAAAAAATATGAGCTGTCACGACAAAATCAACACAGTGCATTTGCGACCAGCATTGATTCAGACCAGCCTGCTGTTCGCTATCAGTTTCTCTACTAGTAATAGAGTTGGTAAGCGAACAGCATGGATCCTGCTCAAACTGCACGGATGCGCAGCCTGGTCTGGATCCATGCTGGTCACAAACCCATTATGTTGGTTTTGTTGTGGCGCGGCTCATATAAGGTTATCAAAACAATGAATGATATCAAATAACTGACTAAAGTAAAATTTGAATGATCATTATTTATGTGAATTGAATCAAATTTCTGTCCTGTACATGAGACAGCTAATAAAATGTGAAAGTAAAATAACTATGCCTATGTTAAGGTTATACTATATAGGCTATATCACATTTTGTTTGTTTTAATAAATAATTCCAAAAACTTGTAACAACAAGTGCTGTCCACTATCAGTAGGACAGGTTGCTTGACTATTTTCAGTGCTTGATAGTAAAACAAAGGCCTGAATAATGTAGAATTTTTGTCAAAATCAATGTTAAAGAGTTATGGGCCTTGGAGAGTGACCTCCTATTATGCTTTTAAATAAGTTTGCAATATCATCTTGCACAAAAAAGTTAACCAAACTGCGAGTCCAACCCAAATGCCATGATCAGTACAATAGCTCTCCCTATTCTTCAAATAATCGAGCTAAAAACTGACAAGTTTATCTTTAAGGCTACTCTTTGCTGAGTTCTCAAGATCATTTGTTGTGTATTTTGTGTCTACATCCTGCATACCCTGAGAGTAGCTTCTGTTAAAGAACTGAACATTTCTAGACATGTATAAAATAATCAGGTTACATATGAATTTGTCATCAGTTTGTACAGAAACAACAACAATAACAAGCACTGAGCATTCAAATAGCTTCAAGAATGTACATATCTCAATAAACTTCACCAAAAGAATTCGTACAGAGGTTAGAATAATTCATTAAATGGCATTTACTTATTATATCATTTGATTTCTTTTCAATTAGCAAAAATGATAACTTGGACAACTTTCTTTTCCTAAAAACAAGATGGTTTAACCTGAAAAATAATAAGCATACAAAAAAACTTTTTTTTCCAGGGAATATGGTTCATTTCCATCCTTGTGTCAAAAATCCTAATCATATTCTGGATAGTTAAAAGATACATTGTATCTAAATTTGGTAGTAAAGTACCTGCCGCAAATATAAGAATTTGTGTATATGTTCCTATAAAGGTGGTTAATAACTATGATTTTACTGCACCATCATCCTCCTCATCAGATTCAGGATTTGAATCTGTAAAATAACACCCTTCTTCATCTTCATCTCCTGTTGCTACAACTTTATCAGTATCCTTGCTCTTTGACTTGTCCTGATCTGTCACACATACAAACCCCATACTATTCAATCCATCTCCAGATTTATCACCAGCATTTTCATGTCCATCTATATTACGAATGCTTTCACCATTGCTTAAGCCTCCCTGAGTATCTAAATTTTTCTCAGATGTTTTGTCAATAATTGCACTTTGTTTCTTAATTGCACTTGCAGGCTCATCATGACTGTCTTCTCTCACTCCTTTAGTAATATTATCATCAGTTTGAACATTGGGAGGAGTTTCACTTGTTGCTGTTGTTTTGCTGCCTGTATCTGCTTCACCCATGTCCACAAATTTTAAACTTGGGTCTTCAAGCTTCAATTCACTAGAAGTTCTAGATTTATTGGCTTCATTGTCATTTCTACTTTCAGATTTTGATTCCCTATCGTTTCCTGTGTTTGTAACGCAAGCTCCATTCACGTTTTCAACATCAGGTTTTATAGGGAATTCTTTTAATTCACCAATTTCTTTAGTAAATTTCTGTGTAATTTTCAGTTCATCTTTTGTGCGAACACCAACAGCTTTTAGAATAATGTCTAGATTATTTTTATAATCTCCATGGCCGTCAATCTGAAAATATTATAAAATTTAAAATGCTCATTATTTTTACTAAAAGCAAATATTTATCATGGCCAACAATCTAAAAATATTATAAAAATTTAAAATATTCATAATAAAGAGTTAATAATTATATTTCATTTTCAGACTGGTATTACTCTGTATTAGTGGCAAATATTTATCATGGCCATTTATAACCAGTCTTCGAGATAACATGAGTATACAGTAATATACATCATAAAATCTCTTCGCTTCATTTTACACAAATTATGATATAAATCTGCTTCCTTTCAATCAACATTCCTTCATAACTGCATAAGCAACATAAAAATATCAGTTCTGTGTAAAGACAGACAAAAGAATCAATTCTAGAAAAATGGATTTTTTTTATCCCCTTGAAGAAAATCATTAATATTTTATAATAATTTGAGTAAAAGTGTTTTTCATTTTCTTCCACACTCACACTCACTTGCCCCTCACCACTGTTTATTTGAATCCCATTAATGACTGAATTTTATCATGTGTGGAATCCTTTGCAGAGTTTTCCATTTTATTTGCTTCATTTGATATTTGTAAGATTTTCAAATTTAATGTTTTTAGGCTTTTGTACTTCGGTGGAGTTCCATTATCACAAGTAATATCAGGGAATTCCAAGACAGTTACATCATTAACCTTTGTGTCAAAGATCCTCAAATGTTTTTTTTAACATAAGAAAACGTTACATTGTAGAGTCAGAACTTACTATATCACTTAGATCAATGTTGTGCATCCTTCTATTGTCCCATTTCACTGGGGACAGTCCTGCTACATGGAATGTGACAGATGCTGTTCTATATAAAAACTTGAGCAACCAATCACCTCTGTATAAAAAGAATCAGAATTCATAATGAAAATATAATTAACTGAAAATACTGAATACTTAAACAAAGCTGTTTGGTGTAATACAAATGCCTTAAATTGCAATAAAAAGATTAAACTTCAAAATAAGTCGATCAAAACACAATAATACACATGTATTGTTAACAGAACATGGTGCTTAATTATTCACAGTAGCAGGTCGGAAAAAACAAGAGTATGTAGTGTTAATACTCATCTGTTAAGAGCAACCAGTTTAGACAAAAATACAAAGTCAGAAAGGGGCATAACTCTAAAAATATAGCTTTCAGAATTATGCCCCTTGTCTAACAACTGCATTTTCGTCATGATAAGCAAGTATTCCAAGTTGATAACTTTTAAAATGATTGGATAATGGGCTACATTCAAATTTTTGTACGATGATGACAATGACAACAACAATGCAGGGATCATAATAATTTGACTTTTTCTACAAAACAAACAAGCTAAAACAAGATTGCATTTGTAAAAAATGCCATGCCACCGCATAAATACCACACTAAATTATAAGTAATGGAGGAGCACATTTTTTTTTTGTTTCTATACAGATTGCCATAATGCATAGATCACTTACCTATCTGTTATTATCAGATTAGTACCTTCAGACAATAAGATTTTTAATTTTTTACTTCATGACATAGTGACTGAAAATCATGATCCCCAGGGGCGGGGCCAATTTTGACCCCAGGGCTTTAATTTGAATAATCTTGCTAGAGGTTCACTACACAATGTTTAATGCAAAATGTCTCACCTCTAGCCTTTGTCAATTCGAGAAGATGATTTTTTAAAGTTTTTACTATATACATGTAAGGAAAACCTATGACCCCCCGGGCGGGGCTAGTTTTGACAGCAGAGGCAAAATTTGAACAACTTTGGTGGAGTACCTATAGATGATATACCAAATATCAAAGCTCTAAGCCTTGTACCTTCAGACAATAAGATTTTTTAATTTCTAACTATATGTACATAGTGAAAATCAATGAACCCCGAGGGTGGAGCCAATTTTGACCCCAGGGCTATAATTTGTACAATCTGCTAAAGGTTCACTACACAATGTTTCATGCAAATTATCTAACCTCTAGCCTTTGTCAATTTTGAGAAGATGACTTTTTAAAGATTTCACTATATACATATGAGGAAAACCTATGACCCGAAGGGCGGGGCTAGTTTTGACACTAGAGGCAAAATTTGAACAACTTTGGTAGACTACCAATAGATGATATCATATAACAAATATTAAAGCTCTAAGGCTTGTACCTTCAGACAATCAGATTTTTTGATTTTTTACTACATGTACATATTGAAAATCAATGACCCCCGGGCGGGGCCAATTTTGACCCCAGGGCTATAATTTGTACAATCTTGCTAAAGGTTCACTACACAATGTTTCATGCAAAAATTTCTAACCTCTAGCCTTTGTGAATTTAGAGAAGATGATTTTTGAAGTTTTTACAATATACATATAAGAAAAACCTATGACCCCCCGGGGTGGGGCTGACTTTGACACTAGAGGCAAACTTTGAACAACTTTGGTAGGGTACCTATAGTTAATAACACATACCAAATATCAAACCTCTAAGCCTGGTACCTTCAGACAAGAAGGTATTTTAAGTTTTTACTATATGTACATATAGTGAAAATCAATGACCCCGGGGCGGGGCCAATTTTGACCCCAGGGCTATAATTTGAACAATCTTGGTAGAGGTCTACCAGACAATGCCTTATGCAAAATATCTAAGCTATTTTGGGTCTTTACAAGAAGATTTTTTAAATTTATTCTTATAATTACTTTTGGTTGCCATGGCAACCAGATTTCTGCATGGAATGAAATTCTTTGAACAACTTTGGAAGCCCTTCACCCAAGGATCAATCTGGCCAAGTTTGGTTTAAATTGGACTAGTGGTTTTTCACAAGAAGATTTTTTAAGTTCACTATATAATCTATATAACACACACACACAAACAAACACACACACACACAGGTGAATCGCTATATGCCACCGCATCGCAGATGCTGCGGTGGCATAAAAACAAACTGTAATTTTCTTTTACAAAAAGAGCTATAATTTTCAAAGCAATACCCATTTTGTTCTATGAAAGAAACTTATTTGAATCAATCAAGGGCATAACTGTGAAACAATGACAGTGTTTCTTTTATCAAAATTTAATCTTATGACAACATCTTAACATCTTGTATTTACTTAACCACATGTATTGTAGGCAAATGACTCACCTGGCATAACCATTTACAATTTTGCCACCTACAACTTTGATAAGTGGCTGCCAGTTTTTTGGGTCCCCTGATACAGGTGCACCTAACAATATCACATCTTCTACCAAACCTTCACCACCTGAAGTCATAATCAATATAACATCACACAAACTTACCTTAAACATGATTAAAATTTAATTTACAGTTTTATAAGTTGTAAGTGTTCATCAGTATTTATACAGTAATAGATCATTTACCAGTGAATTTATTAACAATAAAAACCTTACTGTTTTCTTTTTCTGTTGCCTGATCAACAAATAAAATTAAAGGGACTCCACTGAGGTTTTTTTTACAGGAAAGGACTGAAAATATTTTTCTAAAATTTGTGTACTATTTGATGTAGGTCTGGACCAATAACTTGTGTGCAAATTTTCAGATCATTCTCTCGCTCTGTTTTTCTAGAATAATTATTTTTGATATGCAAAATGACACAAATATGCAACACTTTTAACTAAAATCAGGCTTAAAATTGCACAATACATCAATATTGAATTTAATTTCAAGAAAATTCCTTTATTTTCCTTTGCAGATTTTCCCATTAATGTGTTTCACATGAATGATGTAGAAATTTCAAATTTTATGCTTTTTTTTGGCTTTATGACCTCAGTGGAGCTCCTTTCAAGTATCTTCAATCTTAAAATTTTCTTATTTATAACAAAATTATACTTCTAAGATTATGACTGACCAGCAATAGATGGCTCTACAGTCGAAACTGTCTTAAGCAGCCAGCCAAGGGATGCAGTCATTTTGGCTGCTTAAGACAGGTGGCTGCTGAATGGAGGATCCAGTTTTTATCCAAATAAATTATTCATTTTTTTGTAAAATAAATCTGATTTAAGTATAAATTAACCAGTCTGATTCATCATCATCATCATCATCATCAGTTTTTAAACATTTACAAACGTATGCCATTAATAGTTTAACATGTACACAATCCTTCCAACATATAAAGCTTTACATGAATGTAACACAGATAAACAAATGCACTCACGATTTATTATGTCAATAATTGAAACTATTTATCCCATAAAAATATCTTTTGCACAATAATTTAAAATGCGTAATTTTTTTTTCACAAAAAAAGTATGACAGTTTCTTTTTCTAACTTTTGATCAATAGAATATTGTGTACACGTTATCTAAGTGTCGGCACTTCCTTTGATGTTTCGGATTGAAACAGCAGGGCTACAGGTTTGTAAACATCAAAGATTCCTTTGAAGAGACCGCTAGTTACCTCTTAGAGGTCATCTAGTGTGTAAACTTAATGGGTGTGATTTAACAGTGACCTCATTATATTCATGCAATTTTATTTTCACACATGGAGCAAGTGTTTTTATGAATTTATTACTGAGGAATTTAGACAATCGGCGATGTAATTCATTTTCATTTCTTTGGTAAGTACCATGTACGCACAAAATTTATCTGAATCGGGATAAACTGAAATTTCTTTCTGCCATCGACAATGCATTTTTTTCTTCTTTCTTTTTTTCTTAAAATCGGTAAATTGAAAAATAAAAAACTAGCGTACAGTAACTCAAAAGAACGAATTGCAAGTGCGTTGAGACGTTCCAAACGTTTGTAATTACGACACGGATGAGCAATTATGCAAACTTCTTGAAATGTTGTGGTTTGTGTTAATATCTAGCACCTGACAAGTAGCTTTTGTTAATCCGTGACACGTGTCATCTTTGAAAATAAATGACAGAAGATTGCCTGGCCGTTTCACCTGGCTGACCGCAGAAGATTGCCTGGCCGTTTCACCTGGCTGACCGCTTAAGATGACCGACTTTAAGATTCGGGAAGCATTTTAGGTGACCGTTGACCGCGGACAGCAGGTGACCGTTGAACAGATGTATAAAATAGAGTGGTTTTCGTCGGGAGCGTCACAAAATGGCCGTTAAGGTCAGGTGACCGCCGATAAGAGGTGACCGTTAGTACAGTTTCGACTGTATATGATAATTTCTCACAAAAACAGCTTAATATAACTTGCATATAAAAAATCACTACCTTTTCTTTTAGCAAGTTCCTCTAAACAAGAGAAGATAACTCTAGCTCCTAGACTGAAACCAATCAGAGTGACGGGCCTGTTTCCCTGCTCTCTAGCTAATAAAACCTCTGCCAGCTGTTTCCCGGTTTCAGTGGCTCTCTGTGTACATACATGCCATGGATTGTCTATAGCCCCTGATGCTGCAATCAATGCTGCTGGCCAGGCTATGGCACTGATTATCCCTGTTTTTTATATACATAATTAAGTTTTAAACACATACCCTACTGGAACCGAAAATGATTAGCCTTGGCCACCAGTATAGAGCCAGGCTGTGCTGTCTCCCTAGGCTCTATACTGATTGCTGACTGACCTTATAATTTGATCTTGATATCCTCAAACATTTAACAAATGAAAGCTTGGTAAGTTCACAGAATAAATTCAGAAGGTGAAAGGTTAAACTTACATAAGAAAGTAAAATGTAGAAAAAGGTTCATCACAAAACAGAATCGTGAAACTTAAACAATAAGTTGACAACTGTAAGCTAAAATTAGTCTCAAAAACAGCAGTGTAAAAAGTGAAATATATTAACAAAAACACTTAACTTTCTACAGATATTAACTCTTTTTAAGACATCAACTGTTATGAATACATATTTTAAAGAGCTAAAAAATATAAGCCCTTTCAAAATTCACAGGTCAATCACCCATTTCACACTGTCTAACCCTACATTCCTTTCAATCTAATTTTCAAGCTACAAATAGTCAGATATATTGTATTTCCATTGCTAATTTCATTAAGACTCATATTTTAAAGTACATTTACAGTACCTGATAAAACTGTGTATTTCAAGGCCTCTGTGGTAGCCATACTAAGTCCAGTCTGTAGAAGGTAATCAAATGCCTCCCCTAATTGATACAGATATTTGGACTCCCATCTCACACTATACTGTTCCTTAGAATCAGCCAATGCACTCCATGGAATTCTAAAATCTGAAAATGAAGCATGTGTTATTTACTAAGTTTATCTCACTACAGTGTTATAGACGTAGAAATCTTGCTTACAGAAAAATATCTTTTTTTTTCTGGAGATTCTTACATTTTTTTATTCATTATCGTATATAAATATACTAGTATGTTGCAATAGGGCAAAATTGAAAACTGCAAACTTGTACATTGGTGACATTGGTTTAAGCTATTTCTATCCAAGCTCTCTAGCAAAGATGTCAGCAAATTTTATTTGTTTTTACATTAACCACTGTAATATTACAATACTACACTATTCATTGTAAAACGTTAAGAGTACCTTGTAATCTATCATTGATCCAGCCAGTGACTGCTATAGTTATATGAAGTTGTTTCACGCTCCGTGCACAATTCAGTCGACTACCAATCAACGTTAGTGGTTCAAAGGCAAACTCATCTATCGCCCCAACCCTTCTCTTCATCTTGTAACCTAAAATGACATAATTTTTAAAAATAATTTGCAATGCTTTCATGTAAACATCATTTTAACAAACAACAGGGTTCATACAGACAGACATCCAGTATCAAAATTCAAGGACTTTTTAAGCACTTTTTAAGCATGTTTTTTTTTCATTTTTCAAGCACAATTGTTGCGTCTATATCTTACACAATGTTTACTTTAACCAATATTAATTTAGAAGTCATTTCTTGTTGAAAATACATTTTCTGGCTACAGTTTCTATAGAATAGCAACAAAGATAGCTACAAATCCAAACTTAACTGACACCCTGTTGTATGGCCCCCTGTTGAAACCCTTACTTCAATATATCACAATCCCCCCCCCCCCCCCAAAAAAAAAAAAGAAAAAAAAGAATATCATTTTTGATGATTTTTTTTTCATGTAGATTTATAACTGTGCTTATAAGCAGAAAAGGTGTGAAAAGAGCACAGGTAATCGTTTATCCGCTCTTTTGTTGTCAATCAGTCAGGCATCATATTGTTACAAAAAAAATCTCAAATTCATACTGTAGCTGTGACATGCAAACATTGCTGAATTAAGTTAATCACACAAGCCCAAAATCAATCAAAAAGCCTACACTTTTTACTGATGGAGATAAATGGTGTTTGATTAACTAAGGGGCACAACTAATGCTGGAAGCTTTCACTACACTTGTAATGGCTAACTGTTTCCATTTGTGATTTATGTTTTTCTTTCGTAGGTTTTCCGTTTCTTTTAAATATAAATACTACAACATCACAATATTATATATATCTACATTATTAAATTGTTTTACAAAAATAATGTCAATAATCATTGAATGTAATTATACATAATTGCAGTGGGTGGGGTAATGTGGTGATCTTGCGATGAGAGTTACATATCAGAATCTTGCTAAATGCTGTGTTGAGACCTTGGAACACAACATGAGCATTATAGAGGGGTTGAAGTGAAGTTCAAATCAATTGCAATATGTGCCTGTTACATTGAGCAAACATTACAAAATTCATTGATTTTGGTACTGAACAAGATCGGTTTTGTTTTTTTTTTTTTTTTTTTTATTTGTTGATTTTTACCGACACTAGTCTGTCATTCAATTATTTTCAAGCACATTTGTAGCGAATTTAAGCACTTTTTAAGCACTTTTCAAGAGAGTAATCAAATTCAAGGACTTTTAAGCACTTTTTATCATTTTTAAGCACTTTTTAAGAAAGGGACTGAAATTTAAGCACTTTTTAAGACTGTACGAACCCTGAACAACTATCGTATATTAAACTTCCAAAACACTGATATATTTTTTATCCTCATTAGAATCTATTCAAACTGTAAAGTAGACACTAAGAGGGCTTAGAACTCATTTATATCATTATCTAGATCACCCAGTGCAAAAGTAAATAGGGAAATATTTTCAAGAACCAGAGTAAGGCTTAAATACAAAATTGTTTTGCTGACAGACAAACATACAGTGATATTTACCAACTTTGCTCATATATAAAGAAATATGGTGGCGACCTCAGCAAGACAAGAACCTGCAATCTATTAGTCGGCACGCGTTTGAACAATCAAGCCCCCTATAACCATAAATTTCAATCTGACTTCAAGTAATATTAATTTTGTTGTTTGTTTTGTTGGATTTAAAGTCTCATAGACACTGTTAAGTCAAACAATGACTTTCCAGCTTTACTGGTGGAGGTGCCCCTTTGTGTATTATTCTAAGCACAAACAGGCACCTGAATATACACACTGACATTTCTTAAGCTAGATGAATAGCTTCCTCACATGAAAGAATACAAAGTCTCTGAGGAAATTCGAACCTACAATTGTGAGAGGCAAGTGGTTTGATGTCAATGACCTTAACCACTCGGCAACAGATGCCCCTTCTAGTAATAACTTACCAGTCAAGCCAGCTCCGGCCACACCAAACAGTGACCCTATTATAGCCACACCGGCAGCAGATCCAAGTGCGGCTGCACCTGCTCCACCTATAACAGCCCCGGCCCCTGCTGCTACCAATGGTGCAGCTAATCCCCCAGTCAAACCTTTACAAGTAAACAAAATTTCCACTTTTCACCATTGATAGTAATCATTAACAAAATACTTTTTTTTTTAATGTATGATTTTAAAGAAATCAATAATTTCAATGCAGGTCTAAATTTTTCACTGATATAGATTTCATTTTAGCATCTAAGTAATTATTATCACAAACTATGAATTTCAAACCTGACACCCAAACCTTACATGTGCATAATTATTAGAAACAAATACGAAACAAATAAGTTTTAATAATTCCAATAAAGAAAAGGAAATCATTCAATTAAAAATATTTCAAGAATTTGTTATATGAATTTTGCACCTCATAATAAGTTATTCAATTGATAATAATTTACATTTGAATTATTTCAGATATGTCTTTTGATGACAATAATGATTAAACTAACAGGGTGGAGCCTTATTTACCTCATTGCTTTCATTTCAGTAATAAGTAAGTACAATATGGGAGTGTCTTACCTATCAAAGCCCCACCTCCTACTGTTGCCAGGCCAATCAAAGCGTATCTTTTTACCTTTCTATTTCTGGATTTTTTTGCCTTTTCTTTCATTTCTTCTCTAAAAAAGCATAAAATTTATATAAAATTTCCCTATATAACATGTTGTCATTACCTTTTTTCATATACTGTATTTTTTTTTTTCATATACTGTATTTTTTTTTTTCATATACTGTATTTTTTTTTTCATATACTGTAATTTTTTAACACTAAATTTGGTAATTATATAATAAAAATTCTGTAATCTGAATGCAGTCTGTCATAATAAAGCCATTAAACATTTTTTATATTTCAGTCACATGGGTGAAAGTTGTAATAAAGCTTGTACTTGGCATTTTTGTTTAAAGTTTTTTTAAAGAAAAATATGGTTTATAGCAGTTTAAAGTCAAGAATTAGTCAACTTCCGACCATGCATTCAGAAATACCCTTATCAATCTTAATGCCATATTCATATCAGTTAGCCATGCATGACTTTGCTGCAATGAAGTACATGTACAAATAACTTTCTCTATATAGGTATATTAATAAGCCAATACTAGCCCAACATCTGATAATGTTCTTCTGCTTCATATTTAAATTATATAAGATCATTTTCAATCCAAGTAAGGTTAGTAAATAAATATAAAATAAACATCTGTTATAAACAGTACAATATACAGAAATATAAAGTGCAAGGAAATATCCAAATGATTCACTGTGAGGTTTAAAAGAAAATTACTGACTTAAAATCTAAGCAAAAATCGCTTCATTATAATATGCACAATAGATGGACTTCATCCTCAACATTGTATTCAAATTCACAATTCATCCTTCTTACACTAACTTTCTTTGCAGTCATAAACTGACAAGTCTTTGATATTTCAATAATAAAATTCAGTAGCCAATGGTATAGAGCCACAATGCATGTATTTTCAAGCTAGTCTCACTCTGTACCAGTGGCAAATATTTAGCATGGCCTTTTATAACCAAGTTTTGGCCGGACAACAGTTGAATATCCTAAACACAACTTGAAATTAACTGAGACAAAAATTAATTTTCTCCCAAATCATTTCTCAATATTTTACAAATACAATGACTTAGTAATTGTTTGTTTGTTTGTTTGTTTTGTTTTTTTTTTTTGGGGGGGGGGGAGTGGGAAGCCCTTTACATGTTTTATGACAAATTAAGTAAAACTGTAGATTTCATTGATCAATAAAACATTTTATTCCAACTATACACAATTAGCTTACTAGCCATCAAAGTTTCCCTTACAAACTTCTCAATATCAATCAATACAATACAATATGAACAAATTAAGCCTGACAGAGGTAAAGTACATTCGTAAGAACAAGAGTGTTTTACATGGAGTTTAGTCTCAAGAGGATTGAGAAACTGAAATACTCTATAATGAATGTACTGGGCAAGTTATCTGAAATCAATGACCATCTTCAGTACCAAATAATATAACATCAGTATATTCATTTTGGGAATTCTTAAGGAAAAAAGAAAGAAATATAAATCAATGCGAAGAAAGAAAAGAAATTCAAACATTGTTGATCTTTAGCATGCTGTCACCATGGGACCAGTGCAGACAGACCAAGTTCAGCTCGCACATCTGCACTGTTTGCTTCTCAGACAGTACTTATCTTAAAATTTTCTCTAAAGATGATGAATGGTTTTATCCAGACAAAAAGAAGGACAAGTCCATTTAAGATATTTTAGCATTGGTAAGGGTTAGAAGTCTAAAATGATTTATATATAGTTAGCAGCATGTTAACAAGGATTAGAACCAGCATATGAAGAAACCTTGACATCTGATCTGACTATTATTTCAATATTGTAATTCCTTTTCATGATCAGAATAAGCACTTTTTTACTATTATCACACAAAGAAAACTATTATACTTTTTTTTCAACTTTTTTACTTTTAACACAGGAAGAAAACTTTTATACATTTACTTTTTTTTATAAAGGAATTTTTTTTGTTCTATGTACATGGCACATGGTTTAAAAATTTTAATACTTAGTATACATCATCGTGCTTTAATTAAATACAAATGTATTTAGTCAAGGCATTTAATAATACCTGAATTACAAAATACAAAGTACAAAATATATAATAATCATTTTTGTGATATGAAAAAAAATGTGCATATATTTTACATTACAAAATTTACATGAAAAATCAGTATATTTATAGAACAGTGTTTGTTTGCCCCTCACTTCCCACTGGAATCACTGTAACCAAAACCTTGAACTACCAAACAAAAAATATGAGCCGCGTCATGACAAAACCAACATAGTGGGTTTGCGACCAGCATGGATCCAGACCAGCCTGCTCATCCGTGCAGTCTGATCAGGATCCATGCTGTTCGCTTACCAACTCTATGACAAATAGAGAAACTGATAGTATCAGTTTCTCTATTTGTCATAGAGTTGGTAAGCGAACAGCATGGATCCTGATCAGACTGCACGGATGAGCAGGCTGGTCTGGATCCATGCTGGTCGCAAACCCACTATGTTGGTTTTGTCATGACGCGGCTCATATTTTTTGTTTGGTAGTTCAAGGTTTTGGTTACAGTGATTCCAGTGGGAAGTGAGGGGCAAACCCATTATGTTAGTTTTGTTGTGACGTGGCTCAATTATCTTTTAACAGAGTCGGTCCATGAGAATCACATCTTTATATATTTTTCATCTTTTTGCACAGTAAATATACAAACAAGGTTATATGTTGAATAAAACTTTGGTTTTGAAATTTAAAAAGTTTAACAGATGCTAAACATTCACTATTGTTCTTTTTAAATCTATACAATTCAATACCATATAAGTGGTTAATTTTGCGACATGGAAACATTTGCCATTTTTGCAAATTGAAATTATTCGCAAACATTTAATCATGCAAAAATTAATTATTTCTTTTTAGACAATCTTTCTATCATTTGAAAACACGTTTTCAAACAGCATCTTAGATGAATTAGTTTGACTGTTCAGGCACTGAGATAAAATTTCCTCAGTGCTTGTTTGTTCTTAACAATTCACAAATGATTTAAAGAAACAATAGATGTGTTAATAACGCAATAGGTTATTCATTTAACAAAATATTGTTTCAAAATATGACAAAGAAATGTGTGATCACGTCCTTTATCAAACATACTACGTATATATCAAACAATTATATAGATAATAAAGGTATAAAACAAATGAATAGAAGGATTACAATCATTGCATATTCTTAACATGTACCTGCTTAATTAATGATATCACACAAACAGTATTCAATTCAAGAAATCCTTTTTTCGCAAATATTTCCGCACAAAGAAAGTCCACTTTTTGACATTCCCAAAGTTTTTGTGACACACAAATATCCACTTATACAGTAGGTGGGGGGTGGGGAAAATCTTTCTTTAACTTTGGTACCTACTTTACCAAAACTGGCATGGTCACAGGACGGGAAACAAATATAATTTTAAGGCTTGCCTTTAAGTGCTTAGCATAAACAATAACACAGCACAGCCTTAAAGTGCTTAATATAAACAATAAACAGACAAGTCACACAAACACGAACATTCAGTAATTAATTTTTTTATTTATTTTTTATTTTTTTTAATATAAACAATTACATAGTCACTTTAAATCTAAAACAATAACGCAAACAAAAAGTATAACGAATTATAAATCATTCTAAATTAAAATGAAAGCCTTAAAATCAGCTATCTAACATTTAATTAATAATAATATTATTATTAATAATAATAATAATAAAATAACAAGAAATAATAAGAACAATGTGTATGTACACTGACAACACATAGATATACCTCTCCCTCTTGGAAGGACTTAAATTATCAGAAAAAATAGAATTTCATCTACATTGTACTGGGGTGTGGATGACTTTTTCTTTTGCCCATGGATAAATGTATTTTTTAAAATTTGCTTGCAGGCTTTAGTTATTTATGCCATTTATATCTATTGTTGTTTTATTTTTTCAAGATATATTACGCTCAAATTTGATAACTGCTACATAGTCTCTTTTTTAATTGTCAAATTTTGAGTACACATAGTGGAGATAGATGTTAAATGTGGATATAACATTCAAGAGAAAAGGCTGATAGAAAATTATCATTTTAAAGTAATTATTGCAAATCTTGTTCCTAAAGATATGTCCATAAACCCCTTGCTGACACTCAGTTTTTATTAATATTTATATATCTATATTTATTATATATTTATTATATTTTATTTTGCACGAACTTTAAAACAAATGATTTTGCACAATAGTTACCATGTCTCAAAGACTATAATTATACTCAATCAAAAATTACAGGAAGCGTAAAAACTTACTCTGACATTACGTATGTATCATATTCTAATGTCTCGGCAAATTCTTCCTCGATAGCCTCAACATCATCCCACGTAACTCTCAGTTGCCAGGCAATATGCTTGATTAATACTCGCATCCTAGCGTCATAGCAACCTGTATAAACACAAAATATTTGTAAACTTGAAACTAAGATATACTGTATTCCTTGAAACTGTCATAACTAGAACTGCCACTATCATGGCGTGAATACCCCTGCATACCACTTTGTCAGAATCAACAGTGGCCATTTAGAGCTCAAGGACAACCTCCCTGCCAAATCTGAGGTTACTAAGCCAGTGCATTGCTAAGTTATGTATTGTACATGCTTCAAATGTGAAAATGTCAAAATCAATACATTGCGGACAGGACATTCTTTAGCAATTAAGAAGAAAAGCTTTTTTTTTTGTCAAGGTCCCTGTGACCTTGACCTTTGACCCAGTGACCTCAAAATCAATAGGGGTCACCTTATAGTCATGATCAACATCCATGCCAAATATGAAGACTGTGGGTCAAAGGAATCTTAAGTTAATGGGTGGACAAACTTTTTGAAGTCAAAGTCCCTATGACCTTGACCTTTGATCCAGTGACCTCAAAATCAAAAGGGGTCATCTACTAATCATGATCAACATCCATGCCAAATATGAAGACTGTGGGTCAAAGGAATCTAAAGTTATTGGGCAGACAAACTTTTTGAAGTCAAAGTCCCTGTGACCTTGACCTTTGACCTGGTGACCTCAAAATCAATAGGGGTCATCTACTAATCATGACTAACCTCCATGCCAAATATGAAGACTGTGGGTCAAAGGAATCTTAAGTTATTGGGCGGACAAGCTTTTTGAAGTCAAGGCCCCTGTGACCTTGACCTTTGACCTGGTGACCTCAAAGTCAATAGGGGTCATCTACTAATCATGACTAACCTCCATGCCAAATATGAAGACTGTGGGTCAAAGGAATCTTAAGTTATTGGGCGGACAAGCTTTTTGAAGTCAAGGCCCCTGTGACCTTGACCTTTGACCTGGTGACCTCAAAGTCAATAGGGGTCATCTACTAATCATGACTTGCCTCCATGCTAAAAATGAAGACTGTGGGTCAAAGGAATCTTAAGTTATTGGGCGGACAAGCTTTTTGAAGTAAAGGCCCCTGTGACCTTGACCTTTGATCTGGTGACCTCAAAATCAATATGGGTCATCTACTAATCATGACTTACCTCCATGCCAAATATGAAGACTGTGGGTCAAAGGAATCTTAAGTTATTGGGCGGACAAGCTTTTTGAAGTCAAGGCCCCTGTGACCTTGACCTTTGACCTAGTGACCTCAAAATCAATAGGGGTCATCTACTTATCATGACTAACCTCCATGCCAAATATGACGAATGTAGGTCAAAGGAATCTTACGTTATTGGGCGGACAAGCTTTTTGAAGTCAAGGCCCCTGTGACCTTGACCTTTGACCTAGTGACCTCAAAATCAATAGGGGTCATCTACTAATCATGAATAACCTCCATGCCAAATATAAAGACTAAGGGTCAAAGGAATCATAAGTTATTGGGCGGACAAGAAAAAACCGACGGACGGCCGGACAGCCGGACGGACAAGCTGATTCCAGTATACCCCCCTTACAACTTTGTTGTGCGGGGGTATAAATATTGTCATACTAAGGCATTGTTTGATATTAATGAAGCGATTTTATCTAATATTATTGGATAATTTGATAATAGCTGACATGCATCAAATCCAGAAATTCTTAAAATTAATATTACTGTATTAGAACAATTATATATTACTATAAATACTGGGTATCAAGTGACATAACTCTACAGTTTAATACAAAATATGTCCCTTTCAATCAGAGTTGTTGTTAAAACAAATTTTAAACATTTTCTGAAGAAAAAATTCTTTAGGTGCCATGGCCAATTGGTTAACACATCTGACAAGTAAAGTAAAGATTTCTAGCTTTGTGGGTTAAAACTCTGTCAGGGACAAGCCATTTTTTTCCTTGAACAAGAAACTTTACACTCATTTCTCAGTACTAGCTGGTTCCTGGAATGAACTCAAGGGTGTGTCTATAAGCTTATAGCTTCCTACAAAGTCACTCTAATGTAAAGTTTAAAGGGATACTGGATGTTTGTTAAACATCATAAGCAGACCAACCATTGCTATAATGCTACTACAAGTATTGAACTAGTCCAACCAGCATGTCCTTTAATCCAAACCAGACTTAATTAAAACAATGGGCTGCTTGTCTTCCTAATTTCAAACATGAAATTCATAAAAATCAATATTATTTTGTGCAAGATTCAGAATCAGAGACGCACAAGTCTATTACACAAAAAAAGTGGGGACAGGATGATCTTGGTTCTCACCTTCGTTTATGGCTATCGTAATAAGTTCAACTATAAGGGGTTGTCTGGATTCCTTCAAACATTCCTCTGCCATTAAAGAGTCTACAAAGGCATCACATTCTGTCATTATCTCCCCTTCCATCAAGGCAAACATTGAATCATTTGTCTGGAATATATCATAAAAGTGAGTCAGTGGCAATTTTTTTCTTTACTTTTGTTACCTTCACTAGCAATATAATAATAGAGGATATTCAAGTTTTTTTCTATTAATACAGGCAGTATGAAAATAAAAATTTCACAATAAGCCACAGAAAAAACGAATGTCATATTTATAGAAAAACTTGAATTTTCTGTTTATTAAATAACATATCTCTATTTTGACCTTTCAATTCAAAAGATTTCCTCTTTAATTTTGTTTATTGGATGAATTTATAAGAAAGTAGTATGGCAAGACACCACTAAAAATATGGAAAATATGTTTCACTGCAGTGGAAAATATATTTTTTTATAGTGAAAACACAGAAAATGAAAACATGCATTCATTTCATCAACATTTCTCAATATTTCTAATAAACAATTTTATTTTTAAGCAAAATTGCAACTTCAAAATAGAACTATAGATATTTCTCTCCTTAAATGATTTCGGCAACAAAACTGTATTTTATGTTTGTTTCAATGTTTGTTTTACTAGATTTGAAGTTACACCAGCACTGTAATGGGTTTATGGCTGTTTACCAAATTTACTGAGGAGGTGCCCCTTCTTGTATTATTTCATGCACAAGCAGATAGAAGCACTGACCTCTAGTATTTAACTATGGGTAATTAGCAGTTTTTGCAACATAAGCTATCTATAAAAGCGTCATTAGTGGTGTTCTCTAAATTATTCGTACAGCCAACTGCTAATTCAAGTTTTCATCTAATTTTCTGATGTCATTTTATTTTAAACCTTTAAACAGATGATTTTTTTCCAATTATCAAGACTGAACATTTAACAATTTAGGGACATGGAAGATAAAATTTTCTGGCTATATAAAACACTAAGAAAAACAATTTTTACATTTAAAACTAAATCTTATTTTTCTGACAGTTTCTAAATCTCAGACAAGCCTAGCATGACTGAAAAGTTGCTACATTCACTTTACAGTGCTGGTGTGTACTATCAACAAACTAACATATTTATTTTGTTGTTCTTACCTGTTTTGGCTGACCAAACTCATGCAGTATCTTCGTAAGTGTTTTCTTCTTGAAGTTCCTAAAAATGAAAAGAAACATAATATGTATACACAACTTTTACAAAGATCTAAATTTTTACACAATAATTATGCTGACTATTTATAATTCACCACTCACAAGTTCAAGTTTGAATCCCACTACAGGTATATCATTAGTTATCTTCCTGTGAGGAACTACCTAGCTAACTTATAAATGGTACAATATGTTTCATCTACTTTAAGCTTATCATAACGATAGGGCTTCTAATGTCTCCCTCTTCCATTTGAAATATGTATAATTCAGTATTATGTAAATAATCAATGTATCAAATTGTGTATTGTTTCACTGTTCGGACTGTAGTAAAGATATTAAGAAATGGGGCTTTTTTTATTAAAAAGGTAGACAACTCTATTATATATATAAACTATGAATTCATTTTGACAGGAAAAATGCTCATAAATTTAGCAAGAGGCTATATAATGTATATCACTGAAACAAAACTTTGGAAATAAAAATCCCTGAAATAAATCTATGTTCAGTACATGTATATATAGTTATATACATGTATCCATGTATATAAATATGTGCAATATAAGTAATAAAACCTACTCCTGACATTCCTCACTGAACAATTGTGACATAGAAACTGCACACAGCCCTGCAATACTGTATAGTCCAACATCTGTTAGTTTTTTGTGGCAAGGCTCTGAAAGTATATAAAAAATTGAAGTATTGTTACTGTTACTGTATAACATGCCAAATTAGAAAGAGGATAAATTCTGCAAATGTGCTTGGCAGAGTGAGACTTACATGTCCTTGATAGTCAACAAGTTTGTTGACAGTATTTGTTTTATTGGGTTTTTCGTCACATTGACACAGTGTAGGTCATATGGCAACATTCCAGCTTTAATGGTGCAGGAAGAACATGAAAGAATCCAAAGTCCCTGTCGGGATTCGAACCCACAGTGACAGTCAACAAGTAATTCAAGTTTAAAGTGAATATTGTTAAGGATGTTTTCGGGAGTTTTCATATAGACATACAGGCAAAATGAAAACTGTTCAATAGAATTTCTTTAAATTTGGCATGTTGTAAGAATATGATAAGAGAAACATTTTAAGCGAAAAAAAATTGGGGTCACCATTCTAGTTTTTGAGTTATCTTATCATAAAAAAAAAGTTAAAGTTTAAAATCTTAGAATTCTTTTTATGCCCCCACAATGTGGGAGCATATAGCGTTGCACTTGTCCGTCCGTCCGTCAATCCGTCAGTCAGTCCGTCCGTCCGTCCGTACGTCCCGAAATCTTGTGAACGCAACTCCTCTTAAACCGGATGGCAGATTTTGCTTAAACTTACAGGGATGAACAACCTTAATGGGTAGATGGTAGTAAAGGAAGGAATTTTTGCTGCGACCAAATTTAACAGAATTATGGCCCTTTGTTGATTTTTTCACTAGATACTATGTAGAAATTTTGTGAACGCAACTCCTCTTAAACCGGATGGCAGATTTTGCTTAAACTTACAGGGATGAACAACCTTAATGTGTAGATGGTAGTAAAGGAAGGAATTTTTGCTGCGACCAAATTTAACAGAATTATGGCCCTTTGTTGATTTTTTCACTATATACTATGTAGAAATTTTGTGAACGCAACTCCTCTTAAACCGGATTGCAGATTTTGCTTAAACTTACAGGGATGAACAACCTTAAGGTGTAGATGGTAGTAAAGGAAGGAATTTTCGCTGCGACCAAATTTTACAGAATTATGGCCCTTTGTTGATTTTTTCACTATATACTATGTAGAAATTTTGTGAATGCAACTCCTCTTAAACCAGATGGCAGATTTTGCTTAAACTTCCAGGGATGAACAACCTTAATGTGCAGATGGCAGTAAAGGAAGGAATTTTTGCTGCAACCAAATTTAACAGAATTATGGCCCTTTGTTGATTTTTTCATTATATACTATGTAGAAATTTTATGAACACAACTCCTCTTAAACCGGATGGCAGATTTTACTTAAACTTCCAGGGATTAACAACCTTAATGTGTAGATGGTAGTAAAGGAAGGAATTTTTGCTGCGACCAAATTTAACAGAATTATGGCCCTTTGTTGATTTTTAGTTTTCAACTTGTGGCACATGTAGTCCAAAAAATATTTGACCTAGAGTCATAAGATTGACAGAACAGTGGCGTGTGGGGGCATCAGTGTCCTATGGACACATTTCTAGTTATAAGGTTGTTTAAATGTCACCTTTTAAATGGTTCGCATTTTTGCCCTTCTAATCAGTGTAAAGTTTCATATTAAAACGGAAACAACAGTCTACCCCTGACTGGGTTTTAACCCATACAGCTAGCAACCTTTAGATAACTAGTCTGACATTTTTAACCATTAGCCATGATGTCATTTTTTTATACTTGACTTATCATGCATGTTTATTGTTTGCTTTCTCTAACAACTTTATAACCAGGATGCTAATAATACACTGTTATAAGCTGTTACAGGCTTGCTATAGTTTATTATGGTGAAGCCCCGACGTCTAAAGCTATTGCTACTAAACACATAGCAAAATAACTAAAAAATGTCTATTGTCTTGCTTTTCAAGCTTTAATCAAAAGTGTATCAAATTTTATTTTAAGTTGTTTGGAATTCCAACCAGTAGTTTTCAAGTTATGCTCCGAACAAGGAAAAGTAACAAAGGGCAATAACTCTGTAATCAGTCAAGATGGAGTTATGGTTCTTGTGCACTGCGTTACCTCTCAATGTGCTTGACCATTGTATAAAGTTGTATTGAATTCCAACCATTAGTCTTCAAGTTATACTCCGGACAAGGAAAATGTAGCAGACGGCTGGACAGGCTGACCGACCACCGGGTGACTCCTATATACGAAGTTTGGGGGGGAATAATAAAAACAACAATTTATTTTTGCCTTATCCACCATACTGGTTAACTAAAGCATTTCACAGATTGAATCCAAATTTTTGAACAGAAAAATATTTTCGTATACGCAGACAGTGCATGGGCAAATATTTCATTCAAAAATGTTTCGTTTTAAACTTTTGACTCATATTAACGCTTGCATATAATTAGCCAATATTTCGCACACTGTGTAAAGGCCATTTGTTTTTTCGGCTGTATAAGAAATTTAATTAAATTAAAGGATTAAAACATGATTTTTAGGATGCATTAGTTTAATTATTTAAATAATTTTGTTAAAGGGTATTTATTTTATACTATTGTCGATCTATTTATACGCTGACATGTGTTTATGATTCAGCAAGATCTCCTTGCAGAAGGTGCTATGGGTTTAAGAGCATTTTCGATATGAGGTTGCTTTACCAAGAAGTAAATATATCTCAAAGCGAAGTCATATTTATAGGACTACACTATGGGTCAAGAAGCCTATCATAAAACAGGCTGGTGAAAATGCCCATGTGTCAAGAAGCCTATCATAAAACTTTAACAGGCTGGTGAAAATGCCCAATCAGGCTTATGACATAAAAAATCATATTTCTAGAAAAATAATAGAGATATTTCTTTTAAACTTTACTTGTTTATTGAGCATAATATATGACATAAACAGAAAGAAAAATATTTGGTTACTGCCACTTTTGCATGAATGATTTCTGCATTGTCATTATTTTTGAATTCCTTAAAAAATATGTTACATATTCAAAGTATAAAACAAAATAGTTAAATAACTTCTTTATGCTCTAATTCATTGTGCTAACACCTGTCAGCCTTCATATCATTCAGCTTTCAGAGAAATCTTCAAAGTATCATGTTCAGTGTCAAAGAATTGTCAAAATATTCATGCAGAAAAGAGGATATTTAATCAAAATATACTGGCGCAATAATCTTGAGCGAAATGAAGTTGTTGGACATGTTTATGTTAAGAAGTTTACATTACAAAATAATTTTTATGAACTTAAAATATTTTGTTTCCTGATAATGGGGGAAAAAGGGAAATAATTATAAGAAAATAAAAGGCAACCAAAATCTTTTTATTTTGATTTGCATCATATATAACAAACAAAACAAGTAAGAGCTACTCACTTCCCCTCGGAGCGAGCTTGTCGCTGAGAAGGCATAGGGCGTCAGCAGAAAATTTGAAGACTTGGGATGGCGCTGATGATCAGAACTTGTACTGCAGACCAGCTGCCGATGTCCTGACTAATGCCGAGGGGAATGGCCCTACAAAGTAGGCTCTGAGTCGACAAGGATGGTGTGCTTTGGTGCGTGAGCGCCTAGCACAGATAGACGGCTTGAACAGCATTATGTTGGCAGCAATTTTGCTGGCACCAACCAAAGGGGCACCAACAGTCCTTTTAACTGTTTAAGGGCTACCTCCTTTCATTATTGTTTTAGGTTACTATACATTTAGGTTCTCATTGACCATACAGTGACCTACTTTTGGCTCAAAATTCATATCTTTGGCTAATACTTTGTGGAAATTGCATGGAGGAAAATTATCACCACTTTGTGCTTCAAAATTAACTCTTTAAGGGAATAACTGGCGACGTGTGCGGGGTCCCTACTGACCAGCAAAGCTGCATTTTGTTCCTTTAGGAGCGGACAGACCCTCATTAAGCATAGACTACACACACAAGTTAGAATGAAAGCTAGAAATCTGATTTTTATGTTTTTTTATAATATGCTAGCCTGTTTAACAGTGTTTTCTGTAATTTCTAAATAACATTACTTATTTTTCAGATAACTATTCGTAAAATTGTATTCAAAATATACATATACCTTTATGTTTTTCAGCTGTCACTGACTTTTCTTTGCTTTTATTTAGAGACATTGCTAATTCCAACTTTTTTGCGACTTGACAGCTGACATAACAGACTTCCGGTTTGTTTGTACCACAAAGAAACTTGAAATACCACTAAGTACTAAGTACCGAAATCGGCTAATATCTACCGAACAAAACTCGAACTTACAAACAAATCACGAAAGAATCTAAAAGTTTTACATGATGAAGGTCGGCTAAATTTCTATTCCATTCTAATGATTTGAATCACTTCGAGTTGATTGTGCAACGTTGTAATCTCATGAGCCAGATAAAAAATAGTGCCAGATATGAATTATTTTCAAAAGATACAAAATGCAACATTATGAAAAGGCTACTGTAAGATAAAATATTCATGGTTTGTGCCCTGTCCTGTTTTTGTTTGGGGTCCGCATGGGCTCCTTGCCGCTGGTTCTTGTTGCTGGGCCGTATTGGGGTTGCGTGCATTGGACGCCGCCTTTCCTTGTTGATCTTGTTTAACATATTTTATATATTATACAGTATAGAAAATAATATCCCATAAGTAAAACTGTAGAGATATGTATTTCTACTATTTTTGAATTTCTTAATCAAATTCTTTAAAGAAAATGAATATTTCTTTCAGCTATCAATTTAATATAGAATTATATTATTTATAATGGGATTATAAGTATACATGACCTTGGTATGATTTGACACATAATGTTTACGTTATTTAATTGCCCACTGATTTTGCCACTTTTGTCTGTGAATTATATGGATTTGACACATAATGATATAAACAAAAATTAATATCACACAAAAACCGTTTATTTCAAAAATGTTGCCCCACGTCTAGAGGTTGCAAAGAGCCATAGCAGATTTGCCACTGTTCACCATCTGCAAACTTTAATATAACCTGTGAATCACTTTATTTTTGCCCCAAAAAATTGATTAGCCGTGCAAGTTTATTTAATAAACAGTCCAAATGCAGTCTAATTGACCAACTCTTTGTTAACGATTTTTTTAAATACATGTACAGGCAAACTTTTTTATTTGGCAAAAATACTTGAGCGTGGTGTAAATAGTTTTCTTTTAAACGCTTTCGATTACCAATAGAGACACTTTACAAATGGTGGCAGCATTAAAATTGAGCCATAGTATTGAGCGCAGACAAAACAAATGACAACATTTTGGGGTTTACTGACTCATGTAGTATTTGTTTCACCATAATGCATGTTTGATTTTAGCAAAAAGCAATTTTGTTAGGCTTTTACTTATTGACTAATTTTGTGTGTGAAAATTTCAAAGATTATTTGTTGTCATATTGTTAACTTATTATTTTCAATATCTTTTGGGCACTTGCTTGTAGAATCAGGTCTGTATGATTTTGATATTAAAACTCTTGTCAATGTTTATTCTCATTAAATTTTTTGGACGATGAGTCCTGCATTTGTCGTAGTAAAAGCCCAAACTTAAATCATCGGATATCATCAAGAAAAAGTCTATATGATAATGTAATAGTAAAACTCGTCAACAGATTGACATATAAGAAGGAATATGAGAGATTTGTCCATGTCAAATTAACAATGAGGTCACCTTCAAATATTGGAGGATAAGGCCATTTTTTGTAATTTATAACCCCCCATTGGTAAAAAATTAATTCTAATGGTAATTCTGAGATAGTTTGGAAAAAATGTCAACTTTCTGCTCACTAATAGAAATATATTTTATGGTTTTGAAAATTGATGTGAATTTAAACAATAAACAGATAATGAAAAAAAACATTGTAAATTTTAAGAAGATATTATAGTTAGAAACTATTAGATTTTATGTACATCAATAAACATTTATAGAACATTTACAAGAATTCTTATAAGTATACTTGTGTTAACTGTTATCATATGCGGGAATTTGGTAAAATTCTATGAAGCATATTTTATTTCTAGTAAACGAGTGTATTTTTATCTCTACTAACATGTGTTGTTTGTCATTGTCACAAAATCTTTAATTCCTATGTTTGAGTGGTATGTACAAAAAATCTAATTTACATCCAAAACTACACATATATAAACGATAAAAATTACATTATAGGTTATAGCTAAGAAATGTAATACACATATACTTGCTCCTCTTAGTTCACGATATTTTAACGCTTTGAAAACAAGAAGGAAATAAACAAAGAAATTAAATTTTAAAAAATAGGCATCAGCTGCAACATTTGGTATATTTCACTGAATGTCACAGTGAGACAACAACATACATTGCATTCAATCAAAAACAGTTTTTACAGGTCTGACGTAGATCATAGGTATGCCATTTTGAAAATGGTATGTCATCATTTAAATTGCGATCAATGGCGTAACACTGTAGTTTTTTTCATATTTCAGTTAAAATCAATAAATGTTCTATTGCTTAATTTTAAATATTGAAACTATCTTAAAATTTTAACTCATAATTTATTTTTTCAACAAACAATGCCATTAAGAAGATGATGATTGTTTCAGACGTACTGTATACAGTACAGACATTTTAATGGACTAGTGTGACTTAAATATGCAGAAATTAGTAAAATGTTGTTTTGTTTTACATAAAAATCTATGCATATTTAAAATATTTTGACTAAAATATGTGAATTTTGACCAATTAAAACGCTAGTAACATGGAAATATGCCATTGCTGTGAAATAAGTGATGAGGCGAAATTAGTGATGTTGAGTATACAGTAACCTCCTTGGTTTATAGACTCGCTTACACTAACTCAGTTAGTCTACCAAAAAAAATCATATTCGTGTATTTTATCTTTATTTGTTGTAATGAAATTTGTATAGTTTCCATGTATTTTGATATATATGACCTGGAGTGGATCCTGAACTTTTATTATATAAACTGGGACAGAAGATAACTTCTGTCCCAGATATAAATAAATATTGAATGATACAACAGTACTGTAAATAAAAATTGTCCGAACATCTATTTATGTTAGTAATTGAGAGGGTTGCGATATTTGAAACACTCGGACAAAACCAAGGAGTACCTGACACATTCCATATTCGTGAGAAATAAAAAAACGCTACTGTACAATACAGTTCGTAAATTTACAATTCATTTCGATAAATTGTTTTGGTAGATTTTATACGATTTGGGTTAATAAAATACCAAACCGAAGGACAAGTTCTGCAAAGGACAATTTTTTTGGTAAGAAACAGGTGATTACTCTTAAATCCTGACATCAAAATCCCAAAGAGTTCATTCCTTATGTTCTTAACATTTTTATTCATTGTAAAAAATGAAATAGTCTGTGAACTTCATAGAAAAATGAACATTTTTCGAAGTGGCGAGTAAATATAACAATTCGTCCCAGTTATGATTCGACCCACGACGAACCATTGAAGTAATCGTTCGAACAACTTTAATAACTATCATATATTAGATATTTAAATATTTAAGTTACCTGTGGCAAATTTAAGAAATTGCAAAACTAACAGCTTAGGGTGGCACGATAGCTCAGTTGGTTAGACCACTGACTATCACTCCTGAGGTTCTGGGTTCAATCCTGGGTAACACCCTTGGGATTTTTCCGAGACACTTTCAGTGTTTCCCACCTACCTAGAGGTTCACTGGTAAGAAACCCAGATAATGCTTGCATGTATCAGTGCTATACACTGGGTATTTAAAAGAACCAAGGGATCTATTCAATAAGAGTTAGGGACTGGTTTCTTAGACTCCCTTGTATCTCATAGCTGTCTAGAGTCTGCTGAGGTAAGGACCCTACTGGAAATAAGTGCTTGCACTTTCGTAGGTTATCCTTGACAGCCCGGTCTAAATACAATCGATCAAGCTGCTCAGTGCTGGATCAGGGATCAAATTTTTTTTAGAGACGCTTGTTGTGCAGATCAAATGTGATTGCCAGTGGGACTGGAGATTGCCGAGTGGAATCAAATTTCTAGCTCTACTCGTCCTGCATGCTATGGGACTCATCCTGCATTTTGGGCATGATTTTCAAAGTATTTCTCCTTGATGCAATAGAACCTCGATGATACAATAAAAAAAATATAATGCCTAAGCCTAAAATGATTTTGCACAAGTGTATCGTCCAATATTTTTTTTGACGCTCATCTATTTTGACACCATTTGTGTTTTGACCTTACAATTGGTGAAAATGACCTCGTATGATGTCATAAATTGCTGACTGCATTGCATGCATGTATTTACAACATATAACTTAAGTAAAATATGTCGAAAGACAGAGACATTTCACTGAAAATACTTCAGGCCTAAAATAAAAATTGATGTGTTTCTGGTGGCGAGGCCAAAAAAAGTAGGGTCGGTAGGTCGGAATTTTTTAATTTTTTTTTCAGTCAATCAACGAATGTAGATATGTCAGATACGGATTATATGGACTTTTAATTATATTCTATAGCATATAAAAGTACTTAAAAATGTTAGACTACCAAACCTAGACTTCAATCTTATATTTTGAAATAAATTTTACCAATGGCATGACTCGACTTTCGTTTTCATTTTTTTTATTCTTACCGAACAACTGACTTCAATTTTAATATTCTCACTCTTAACATGACCATGCACGTCCAAAAAATGTTTTGAGCTGTTTTGCTGTGGTCAATTAATTTGATTTCCTGTTTTGCCAAACTATGATCGTAATTTTAAAGGAAATGGCCAGCAGTGACACTTTGGCTGCTTGTTGTGCCGCCATATTTGCCGGTGCGCGTTAAAGCGTAATTGGAACACGAATCGTCTGCCTGACATCGTTGTCGACTCGCAATACTAAAACCCGTCTTTGGTACGGTTGGTTCGGACGCCATTTTTTTTTGTACATCAATAAAAAACTTTGGGTCGGCGCTAAAAAATAGGGTCGGTCGGGCCACCAGAAACACAACATTTTTTGCCCAAAAACCTTAAAAATTCACTGTACCCATATTTGTACAGCTTATATTTTTAAAAAAACCCTTTAAAATTTAATTTTTTAAATTTTAAATTTCAAGTAATTGATTCAGAGTAAATTTCATAAATGGGTAAAATTATTTTTATTAAAGTTTAAAAAAGAAAAAAATTTATTTTTTTAAATTTCATATATATATTTTTATTTACATTTTCATTTTAGATCCCATTTTTCAGCTTGGGTTTAACCCAAAAACAGATTGCTATTCCACCCAAGATTAGGGTAATATTTAAATGCTTTTCAAGGTGAAAGAGACTTTTGCCATTTTATTAAACCAAGAAAGGGTTTTTGAAATTGGGGGGGCTTTTTTTTTTCCCTTTAAATTTAAAAGGGTTTTTTAATTTTTTTATTCTTTATAAAATTTAAAATATAATTTTTAAGTTTTTCATGAGGGTTTTTACTTGGGGTTTTTTCATTTAAAAACTTTTTTTTTCCTGACATATTACATTACAGTTGAAATATCCTTTAAAAATAGCCAGCCAATCAAAAGGCGTCATTTCGTATGACTGTAAACAACAATGGATGCCTCCACGGTCTATTAACTTATTAATAAGTACACTACAAAACATGAGTGATTTTGAACTTGTAACAAACATAAAAATGGTTTGCAGTAATAAACAACATGCCATAGTTGCTTTATTTAGTATTTTATTTAATAATCAAGTTCCATATAAAAATGCAAAAGAAAAACAGCTTAAGGGCGTCAAAACTAATACTCGTTTAATAAAAAATATTAATAACAAAAAAAAATTGGCATTTTTAATTAATATCGGAAATTTCAACAAGTACATGTTTATAAATTGTTGAAGGTCCAACATATTCATTAGCTTAAAGTACAGTGACAATTTATAGCCAAATTATTGTCCACTAAATTGCACATGTCCCCACTAAATTGCACATGTTTTGATGAGAATCTCAAACAAGAATGTCAAAAAATATCAAACTTTCAAAGTAAACTGAAGTACATGTAGTCACCTTTAATGCCTCGCCAGCTTCTGTCCATTTTCTTCAACAGAAGCTGAGAACTTGCAATATTTGACACAACTTTTATGTTGATAATTGTGGAACATTAAATTTTCATTTAATTGTTTGTTTTTTCAGGGAATCATGGGGCACAGAGAATTTGGAAATTTGGGTCATACGAATCGTGTTATTTACTTTGGCTTGTCTCCATATGAACAGAAGGCGTACAAAAATGCTTTCGTAAAAGGAATTCCAGCCGCATTAAGACGTTATGCAATGCTTTTTTTGGTTGCATCTCCAGGTAAGTAATAATAATGCTGCCATGGAGGATTATAATCATGATATTGATGGAAAAATACCTGTCTTCATGTATGCTTCAAAACATGAGTTCCTAGTCTCTGCCTTTTATGGCCTGTAACTGGATGGAGTATTTTTTAAACTACAATGTATTTTTACTATGCTTAGATGATAATGTCATTCCAATGTTTTGTCACAACTGTGGCTATAGAATTAATAATACACCAAATGTTAAAAAATGTTTTGCCAATAGAAACTTATACATACCGGTAAAAGAAATCTTGATTTTATTTTCAACTGGGTTGATAATTTCAACTAAGGTAATTGGATAGAAGTGTACTTTGGTGAAAAATTAAGTAACTGGTTGGATTTAAAGAAAACTTTGCTCTGCTTTTTGTCATAGTTAATTGCCTGCTTTCACCAAAGTAGAGCTATTGTCAGACTTGGGCTAGTATATGAAAGGCTATCATGGTCATCTTTCTTCCTCTTTAAAGTTAATCTCTTCAACATGGGCATTGCTCAAAGGTTCAAAAGGAATGAGGCCGTTTTTATGTCATTGTATTTATGTAATGGTAACCAGTTTATTCAGAATTCCATTGTAAGGGCGGGAAATAGATTTTTTCCCTGCTTTAGCTGCCGTGGGCCCGAAATTTTTATTTGTCCCATGTAAGCTTTCTGTTTGTTCATCAATTTGATGGGGGTTTTTAAGATGTTATAATGTGTTTGGTCCCATCACAAATCTAGTTCTGTAGGTTTTTCAAAGTCAAAAGGTCACTCTTTGTATTCCAAAGTCACTGAATGTTTTAAGCCCCAAGGCATTTTAAAAAAGTTATTTTAACCCCCTATCCGCATTTGAATAACTCAATAGGCAAGGGTTGGGAAAATCGTTAAGTTTTCCTTTACTAATGGCTTTTAAATTTAACACACTTTACTAGGGGTCTAATGTCCCTTTTTCAAGATTAACGGTGGATGAAGGGCCCTATAGAACAGGAACTAACAATGTTCCCTAAGCTAAAACGGATGGGGCAAAAAGGCTCAATCAAACTGAGCCAGCAACATGTTCAATTTTGCTGTGTTCTTTAGGGATTCTTTTTTCTCTATTTCATCACAAGAACAAATCCAAAGTCCCTGGTGGGATTCAAACCAACAATTAAGTACTCTGCCATGAAAGCCATTTATAAGATTAGTGTAGATTTACATATATTTGTGAAATGTAGATTTGGTATTAATTATTTAAGGGCTGTATTTGACAGTTACTGTACATGTATGTAAATGTACACAATTCTGATGTACATTGTAAACTGAACTATCGGTCTAAGTCTTAGAAAATCTTCTTTTTTTTATTTCAGGTGTGGGCGCAGCTATTTACTCTATCAAATGGTCGAAAGCAAAAAATCTTCAGTTGTCAAGGAAGCAACCAGGACAGTTTGACAATGACAAATAAACAGTTTATGCCTCATAGAATTCACTTAACACAGTCTAAACTTTTTATAAGATTCTTCCTTTTTTCCGTAAATTAATTGAGAAATTAAAAACAATGAACATTTATTATATTCACAGCTTTACTTGATATTAATCAAGTATCCAATATATTTTGAATGTTAGTTTATATGTGTTATTAAACTTATGTAAAAACCAAGTTTTTGGTTGTTTTTAGCTCAACATTTTCAAAGAAAAAGAATGTTGGTTGGAGACCACCAAAACCGGACAACCACCAAACCCGGACTGCCCCAAAAATGTCTGATTTAGTTGTTTTCGATCTATCAGTCACTTTTTTATCAACAATAAATGCATGTTTCTTCTATAATTAAATAAATTTATTTCAACTATCGTAAATGGTAATATTTTAATGTCAATTTCAAGAACATCGTCGTTGGAAATTTGGAAAAAATGCCTGACCTCTTATACTAGCTATAATCATTTGCAAAATAAACAAAAGAATACCCAAAACTTCAGCATTTATTGCTGATATATTGTATATCATGTTAAAAGCAGTTTATAATTCAAACACCTAAGCTTTTATCTTAATTTAATCAATGTCGTTACATATCTGTCCAGACACATGGTACTGTATTATGTACAATTTAGGTAATTTAGATACTCCTTGACGGGCCTTGGACTAAAGTGTCAACACAGTCAGAACTCAAAAAACCAGTTTGTTCGCTAGCTGTGCTGTGTCAAATTTTCAGATCTGTAGCTTTGAAATTATGAAATCTGTATGGAAAAATGTTCAAAAAGTGTCCGGTTGATGGTCCCCGACCAGTAGAGGTATTGTTACAGTCATGTTGGCATTACTGTCTGCAAACTTTAACTTGATCATAACCTTTAAGTTTCTTGTTGACCTAATCCAGTTACCTCTGTGGCTTGAGTTAGATCCCCGGGAGATGCTTTGGTAGTTTAGCGCGGAGGAAGGTAGTCTAGTACTGGTGTAACTCTCCAGCAACGATGGTTTGGAAACTACCCGCCTATATGACTGAAATACTGTTGGGAAAAGGCGTAAAATGAAACAAACAAACAAAAGTATTGTCTTCATACTTGGCCACAACAACCCTTGGGACAAGATTAAGGGTCCCACGTTGACAATGTTTTGTACACCTTTCCATGATTGCTAAAAACCGAAACAATATCGTTTGAACGGTGTCCTATACTACACCCTGTATTTGAGTTGCTAAATGTACTTACCTTATATCTTTAAAAAAATTTAATGTAATAAATGAATAATGTTCACAGCTCATTGCGAGGGAGTCGGTACCAATTTTATACACATTTCGATTTTTTAAAAGATCAAAGGAAAATCAACTTTACCAAAAAAGTGTTTATAGTCATGATCGATCAGCTACATTTGTTTTTGATTTGTTTTTTTACTGGGAATAAATCAATATGAATTGATATATCTGGATAAAATTCATGATAACAGGTAATAATTAGTACATTCTACTAAGACAACGTGGTCATTTCATTTAAACGATAAAAAATATCTTAAACATTTACCAATGAAAATCGAAACAAATATAAAAAAGATTTTCCCTCTGTCTGTTTGTCTGTCTGTCAATTCCTAAAAACTATTTCCTGAGATCACTTAAAGAATTAAGACTTTTTCCAACAAATTTACTTAAAATAGAGAAAAGTTGAAACATTACATGTAGTTACACAGTCATATTCATCCTGTGAAAATTGGATCTTTTGTTATCTACTGTATAAACATAACTTCCTTACAAGGCAGGGAAACTTGACACTATGAAACAAATTTAGACTCAAAAGATTTAAGTTATTCATGTCATTCTTTCATTCAATGGCATAATTGAATGGTCAATGTTGTAAGGTTCTAACTGGTAGGGGACTTATGGGTTGCTTGCAATACTATGATAATTGCTTTTTGTTGTTGTTTTTTTTGCTTTAGAAAAGTAAAAAAAGTTGAGTGTTGTCCTAACCCAGGGGTGGCTCTTCCTTATATAACAGAAGTCTTTAAAATGCCCGAGTCTTGCAGTTTATTCCCAAAATTTGATTAGCTTTGTGATAATTCTAGCTAAGGCCTCTTCCCAACAAAGTGAGAAAAACCACTGTATTGTGGGGAAATAAATAAAAAGATGCCATTGTGTCTGATATGTTTTTATTTCATCAATGCATGACAGTAAGTAAAGTGTTACATGTTACAATGCATAAAGTTTTTGATAAAAGAAAACTTGTCACTTTGGCAAAATTTAAAGGGGTTTAAATCCGGGAAATCAATAGGGGGTTAGCCCGTTATTGCACTATTGGGGAAAAATTTTACTGAAAGAGAGAGAAAAAGGGTTTTATACATAAAAAACAAAAACCAGGTTTAGGGGTTTTGTCCCCAGGGTTTTATACCTTTAAGTAATTTCAAGTTGGGATGAGGAAAATGAATTGGATGAAACAATTAAATTTAAATTTAAACAAATCTAATTTCATTAAAATTTAAAATTTTGGTTTTTTAAGGGGTTTAAATTTTTGTCAAATTACCCGGGCAATCCCTTTTAATAAGGGAACTTTCGGTATGAAAACAAATTCAGTCTCATCCTAACACAAGGCTGATTGTATTTTGCAACAACTATCAAATGTATCATAAGTGACCTTTGGGGAAAATTGAAAATTATTTTTATTTTGCAGTAATATACATGTATAACATTTCTTATTAAACTGTCGTAATGACAAAAATTATGCTATTTTGAAAAGCGATACAAGTTTGATCGCATTTGAGCACTTTATTTTCATCACTGTTCAAAGATTTGTTATAAATTCCTCAATAAAAAGTAACTGTTTAAAAAACTTCCGGTAGCATACAGTTATATAAAAATCCTTTAATTATTTGTTAAAAGAATTACAGTTCCTGTTCTGTTCCAATACATAATTGTTAGTATTTTGAAAAAAATATGTCCCCATTTCAGATTAAATTATGCGAAAATTCCATGAACAAAATGATGTATGAATTTAAGAAGCACAGAAACAGTTTTATCTCTCATCATTTAACATTCATCATCATATGTATAAATACATTTTCTTTAAAGAAGCACACAATAACAAAAATAATAAAATAATAACAGTAAAATAGCAAATTTATACTAATAAACATGTATAATACATAAATTCACATTTGCATAACTGATCCAGTTTTGGGACTAAAAAGTAGTATCACTATTATGTACAACATTTAACATCCCCCCAATCATACCAAACACAAATTTCTATTTCACACTTTCTCTACATACCCACATTAAAATTCTCTACATTTACCCCTTAAACCTGCTGAAACCGGAAAAAAATGGCATTACTTCACCTAGGTGCAAAAACTGGTTAACTCCTATTAAAGTTAAAAGGATTTAACCTGTTACTGCACTAAGGTGACAAATTTTGTCACCCGTAAGTCTGACCAGACTCTATACTGTTGGCAGTTGCTGATTAAAAGCTGGGATTGGAGGTCAGGAGGTCAAGGACATACACATACAAATATGATTAAACTATTAACAAAACTTTTTTTCAATATGTCATAATTATGACACCTGAGGTTTCAATAGTTTCATATTTCTTTGCAACACCATTACAATAAAGGCTTGCATGGACAAACTTTATACAAAATTGTCAGCTATTTAAATTGTCAGCTATTTGGACAAACTTTATACAAAATTGTCGATCTGTAACTCATGTTGATTTAAAACAATATATCTTCAACTTGGTATAATTGTACAAAACTTTCTCTTAAGCTACTTTATATCCAAATCATTTTTTTTAGCAAATGGTTCTTTAAAGATATATTTTAAAAGATAAAAGTTTTTTTTCCATTATTTGGTCTCAATAAAAAGATGAACATTATATTACATGGTAATAAGCAGTTTATTACTTGAATTATATGATTAATCTAAAAATGAAAAAAAAATACATTACAAAACAGTTCAATACTTGCAGACATTGCTACTATCCATACAAAAATTGTTACAAAAATATGAATTTTACAGCAGTTTTTCATAACAACTATTAGCAAAAGAATAAATAAATAAAATACTTCAGCTGGGATTTCTGATAAATCTGTGCATTTTGCAGTCACTCACAAATACATGTTTAACCAGGTACGTATATTAACATATTAATATACGTACCTGCTTTAACCTAATGACTTTATACACTTACATGCTCTCAAATCAATCATAATATTAATGAGATTAATGAATGCTCCTTGAAATGCTTAAGCAAGGTTAAAAACAACTTTTAAACCTTATATATATATAAACCAGGAGGAAAAAAATGTTTTTTCCACCCTTATTGACATTAACCATGACCAAATGGATCTAAATCCAAAGCCATGGATACAAATCCATGAAAATGGATAAATGTCCATGAAAATAGATAATAGTCCATGAAAATTACCAAAACACCATATATTGAATATATTCATCCGTAATCAAATATGCTTTGAGAATTGTGACAATGGGAAATATGACGGACAGACAGACAGACAATAGGAAAGACAAACTGGCTAATATATGCTCAACTGAACACTTCCAAGGAGCATTATAATCATATATGATGAGCAATATTACATATTATGTAAAGCAAATCACAAATTTAATGCAACACTGTTGCAATGCATTGTAATATTTTTTTTCGATAAATGTAGATAAAACTGCCATTTATTTCACTATACATTCATGAACAACATTCTAGATTTTGTGATATCAATTTGTATATTTCACACAAAATTATATAGTCCAAATATTGGTTACTAATAATATGCATTGTTACAGCAAAACATACCGGTAGAAGAAAAAAAAACAACATACATGTCATACCATTATGCATCTAAAAATAGAAAATGGTGTAATGCATCTATAAATAGAAAATGACCTTTATTTACAGTGGTAATGAAAGTTAGATAATCGTGAAATTTTTACTTGTCATGCAACATTTCTTTCGATAGACAGGTCCTAAAAACATGTTGATGTAGAAAAATATGGATGTAGTTTATGTGGTTATCAATTAATTCTCTACTTTAAACATATTTGTATCATTATCAATGTCCTTTAGATTTCTAAAATAAGGCACATTTTATGTGTTAAAGTGTTTAAAGCTATATTATATGTGCAACATGTAGTTTACAAAATTATTCTTTGAATTTCGAAAAATAAT